TGTGAACTCTTGAAGTCATTCTGCAACATTACAAACTTGATCTCTGGATCTTATTATCCCACTTCTAAATTGTACGTTGGATGAATATGGAAAATAAAGTATCTTTTTAATTCTTATTTAACAAGTGAAGATTCGTTAATTCAAGACATGGACACAAAAATGGGAGAAAATTTTGAAAAGTATTGGAGTGAGTATAATAATCACTTTCTTTTGGGATATTCTTGATTCAATAAAAAAAATCAACTTTTTGAAGTTTGCATATCAAAAAATTGATCATACACTAGTGAAGACAAGTACAAAAATATCAAGGGTGGATCGCATGAGATTTGTGAGGAATATGTCAAACATGACCTTTAGTGGTGCCCACTATTGGGTAAAGGGGTACTATTTACAAGTGAGCACCATGGGAAAATGAGAGATCGAGAAGTTTTCTAGAGAAAAAAAATTTGGGTTGTAGAAAGTCAATACAAGCACTTTTAACACAAGAAAAAATATATTTAAACATTGCAGAGTGAGACAACAATGCCCTCATGCCTAACATAATCATAGAAAAATTAGATAGTGGATACGACTAGGAGTTTTATTATCTTTTGCCTTGGGGATAACGTTCTAAGGGAAGTTTCAAGGGATAACATTGCGACTTTGATGTGATAAAAATTTGAATCATTGTATATGACCAAGTATGTGGCTCATAGGTTATGTCTGAAACAACAACTTTACTCAATCCAAATTGTAGAGAAAAAATCCATAGTGGAGCAGATGACAGAATTTCACAATATCATTGATGATATGGAGAATATTAAGTTGAAGATTGATGATGAGGAAAATGTTTTACTCTTGTTAAGCTCATTACCCATATCCTTTTAACACTTTAAGGATGCCCTTGTTTATATATAATAAGGAAAATACTATTACTTTGGATGAAGTCGAGAGTGTTGTGAGTTCCAAAGAGTTTTCAAAAGTGAAATATTTGAACATTAAGGATAGTGGTGAAGGATTGAGTGTCTCAAGAGGAGGAAATGAGCGTAGAGGGATGTTCAAATTAAATATGTTTGAAAAGTTAAAGGTAAAATCCTTCACTTGTAAAAAAAATTGGTCACTTAATGAGGGATTGTTCTGGGAGGAGGGACAATGATGATTTTGTTTAGATTACAGTTGCCTCAGATGAGGATAATTATGAGAGTGTTGGTGAACTAGCGGTCTCGAGTTTGGATACTGAAAAGGGTTTGGTCATGAACTCAGGCTTGTCTATCACATGTTTCCAAGAAAGAATACTTTGAGAATTTGAAGTTTGAGTAAGGTGGAGTAGTTTGCCTTGGTGGCAAATTTTTTGCAAGGTTCATGGTATTGGTACAGTTGGACTTAAAATATTTGATGATCACGAGTTTCTTCTTCACAACATGAGGTGTGTTTCAGAGTTAAGGAGAAATTTCTTATCCATACGCATGTTTGATTATCTAGGAAATTACACTAAAGTTGAAAATGCGGTGTTGTAGATTTAGTAAGATGAAGCGATCATAGTTAAAGGATCTAAAATATGTGGTTTATATATTTTAGAAGGTTCCAACGTTGTTATTTATTCATCATGATATAATGAAGACTTTCATAACAACAACAAGCTTTGTTATTTGAGGTCAAGACGCGGTGGATGCCGAAATATTGTTTTAAAGCATTTTTATGAGTTTTATAAAAAGGCATGTTTTCGCTGAGTTATTATTTATTTTATGGGGGTAAGGCTGATGTCAAAGCACCTTACCTTGTCAGCAAGTAATCATGTATATGAATAAACTTCCAAACGCATATGGTAGTTTGTAGTAGGAAATATTGAAACTACTCTTATTCAAAGGTCGTCAAAGCTTTACCTATTGCGTAAATAAAGTTAATTCAACTTGAGGGTAAATTTGTGGATTATGTCTTCATTGGTTGTCCAAAAGGTAAGAAGGATTTTGAGTTGTTAGGAGTGAAACCTCGAGGAATGAGGTTCATCTCGCAGATGTATTACTTTCAGTCAGTCCTGTTAGGGGAAGAAGAGTTAAGGCTTAAGGATGAAACTTTTAGAAACTATGGTGGAGAAGACTCTGTTTAAAATGGAGTTTCCTATTATGGATACTAGTACAAGTGAGAGAACAGTTACAGACATCTCTGAATTTGACTCGCGATAAGTTAAAGAGTGAGATTATATCATCTCAAATGGAAGGTTATGCTGACCTTGGGTGTTATGCTTTGAATGTGACTAAAGGGTTACAAAACTCAAAACAATGATCTTCATGGAGGCATTCGTATTTAAATAAATTCAAAGATTTCGGAATAATCATGCTTGTGGGCTTGTTAGATTATCTAAGTTGCAGAAAAAGTTTATTTGTAACAAGTGGATGAAAATGGAAAGATGAAGATTCAAGAATGACTTGAACTTGATCAAGGTTGTTGAATATTGATTTAACATGGTAGTGAACAACAAGCTGGTTGATGGATAAATTGACATCACCATGATTTAAGTTCAATATGGAGATTCTTGAAGTATGTCTTAAAACCTCACGTTGTGAAGGGGAGATAAATACAATTTTGGCATTATTGACTTTCAATAAAGAGTCAACAGATGAATTGTTTGACAATCAACGTTTGATTTGGTCAACGGTCACTAGGTTGACTAATCATTAGTTGATTTGTCAACGGTTCAATTGGCCCATGAGTGACTTGGAGGTTTGCGGATATCGCGTTTGGTTGGTTCGCTTCGCAGATTCATTCATTAATTTTAGAATATTATAAATATCTTTTATATTAATTTAGAGTTACTATAAAATACTCTAAATTAAAATGAAAGTTATTATAAGATATTTTTTCGAGGTCGATCAAAGACCCAAAAAGCCAAGGTCCAATCCACTCAAAATGACTCTTTTGACCCAACGTATCAGAGGTGAAATTCAAGGTACGTTATTACAATCATCATTTCTTACTACACTCATCATGAACTATAAACTGACTTGAACATTAAAGTGATAATCTTGCAGGTCCATCCCACACCGCCGTATCGAAGATCAGTATTCACCTATTCAACATCATTTACTATAAATACATACAAATTTCAATTCCACAATAGAACAGCGGCACCGTCTGTATGAATTGACTCCTAATTTTTTAAAATCAGATCTCTAACGAAACTAAGAGAAATAAACAATCAACTAACATGATGATAAAGAGATTGTTATATATTTCAATTTTATTATGCAAGAATAACTAAAACATATATAACCTAATTATCAAAAGTAATATATAAAAATATAACTTATTGCATCCAAACATATTAGAGCTTATCTACATATTGTCATGTAGCAATTCGGTCATAGAAATGAAATGAAATAGCATCCAGACGATATCTCAAACTTCTTACGGATCCACCTCGAATTACTTCAACACCCTCTTGTTGTGAACAATACTATAACTCACTATCGCTTAATGTAAATTGGTATATAAAATATCTCATAACGATATCACCTATGCATTAAGCATATAAATTCCAATTATGTTCACCATCCACTAATCGAGCGAGTGACTGATTAGCGGATTGGGTTTGAGTCGTCTTACATCCATTAATCAAAGGATTCTTCTATTAGTGGAATTTTCCCATTTTCCTTGGGTTACTCATGCCTCAAATATATTGATTGAAAGAAATTCCGCTCTGTTAATGTGAGGATTCTTCGATTTGTGGAATTGTCCCATTTTTCTTGGGTTATGGACATGTTGAGCCTCTAAAGCATTCTTAGAGAGCAAAATCTTTGCTAGAAAAGTAGTGGAGCTCCGTGGGATACCTGTGTTAATAGTGACTGATAGGGACCTCACTTTCATGTGTAATTTCTGGCAAGAGTTGATCAACTTGCAAGAGACTCAATCGTAAAAGAGCCCAGCTTACCACATATAGATTATGCATAATCCTTATGAGACTGATTCTAGGACCACCCCTTTTGAGGTAGTCTATAGGACTCCGCCTTTCATTTCAGGGAGATGTTCGAATTTAAACCATGTAACAGGTTCTAATGGACGGAGACAAGGATTTGAAGTACTTAAAATATCATTTGCAAAATGCACAACACCACAATGTTCATGAACTTGATGTGGTTTGAGAGCATCTCTTTTCTTGATATTCCAAAATCGGTCACTAGGTGGAGCACACAATCGGCACAACCAAGGCTCTTTTGAATCCGGGACCACCATCATAGATGGTCCACCATCCACCTTATAATTTTACCATTCAATGTAGCATTAAATAGTGTGAATTTCCCTATCAAACCTCATTTTGAAACCACCATTGATGTTCTCCAACCAATACCGTTTATAAAAAATCATATCATTAATTGTAAATACAGTTCTCTAAACACAATCTCAGTGGAAATATATAAACATCAAGTCCATTCTTTCAAACCCAACGCACAAAATAAACATTTAGTCAGGGAAAACGGCCAAAGAATTCAAAATGGGAACACAGAATTATGTGCCGGTGGAGATATTTATAGTAAAGCAGCAATTTCAACGTCCACACTTTAGGACCATTAACAATATGAAATCAGCACTCTCTTAAGTTTGAGCAAACAATGCTCTAATCATGCATTTTAACCCTCTTGGTGGACAAGTCTAGCAATTAAAAGATAGTTCATAATGCATTTAAGTTTGAGCAAAATGAAATCAGCACTCTATTAAGTCTGAGAAAAATGAAATCAGCACTCTATTAAGTCTGAGCAAAGATGATCTAATCATGCATTTTAACAATCTTGGTGGACAAGTCTAGCAATTGAAAGATAGTTCATAAAGTCAAACAAAAGAACAATATATATGCATACATAAATTATGTGTAATCCATGAGACTAATGCTACACCTACAATACTCGTCGGATGGGAGACTTGTGCTGTGCCAGACAAACACTCAAGCCAGTTCCTGGGAAATTTGGGAATGGGAATGGTGAACAACCAAGGAACCTTCTTGCAAAATAGATTTTAAATTACAGCTGCTAGTAGGTTTTTGTTTTGGGAACCTTCTTCTTGGGTTGCCTTCTAGGAATGGAGTTTTTCATCCCAATGAAAAACAATAAAGCCCCAAAGAGAGCCATATTCTGCAAGGAGTAATACCATACCATTTAATAAACAATTACAACAATACATGAAGGAACATTGTGACAGTAGGTTGTAATCAGGCAACAAGAAAATAAATTTATATAAAATAATGAGCCCACTTCTCTGACCTGAGTAAATTTGATGAAAAGTTGAATATATTCTTTGTCCTCGTGGTCGTAATTATAGAAATCATATAATATTGGAGTGGTAATCACCTGGTGCAAAAGCTACAGGGAGAAAAGAGCCATATTAAACAACTGAGATGAAAATAAAGTGATAAACTCAATTGCATGGAGAGAATTCAAACTACAAACCAGAAGTGTAGCTCCGAGCGAACTGCCAAGTATGAAAAAAATCCCTCCAACACCCTTGAGACCAATAGCCCCAGCAACTAAAAATTTTATCTGTTTGGGATGTGACATAAGCTATATTATATAACTATACACAAACATTCTAGATACAAAGCAAAGTAATATGCATGTGAAAAGGAGCATCTGATCAAACACGGTTACGTGTAGATAAAAGGATGACCACAACAGATAAAATGATGAAAGAATATTCAATTATTTTCCATTATGATGTTTCTCAACTTTCTCAGCATCTTCCTCGCCTCCACCCAATTCAGTTTTTTATGATTCATGTCCCAACACTATAATACTTCATGCTGAGAACACAAAATTATACAAGGGCAGGGAGGCAAGCAAATACAAGTTGCATGGCCAAAATAGTTAATGGAATGCATGTACAAGTTAATAATTTTTTAGAGTGCAGGTTAATATTTTGTCCAGTCTACATGATAGTCATTTTTTAAATTGAAAAATGTTAGCTAGTTATAATATGTTGGGCGTGGGAACCAAGGCAACCTGCCAAGCTTAACTCTGCTTCCCCAACCACCAGGCCAACCTCATATCCCCTACATAATAGTCTTATCTGAGCCCTTGCAATTATGGCAAAGGTATTATCAGGTACCCTAGTAGGTTTTCATCCTCAATAACAGAAAAATGCATGATCATAGTTACTAAATTCCTAAGCAGTCTCAAACTACATGCCTGGACTCAGTTTAACTTTCTTTTTCCTTGTTTTCTTGTGCTTTTTAAATTTTAAATCAAGGTTTCCCAACATAATTGATACTGAGAAAGAGAGACTAACATCAATTTCTGGAAGTTGGAAGCCAACATGTGAATCAACTTTATTTATAAAGGCTTCATACTTCGGTCTGATTGCTTTTGCTGCAGGTCCCCCATCAACTCCATAGTCATGAAATCTGAGAGGGAAGGATAATAAATAAAAATCATAAAGAAAATCATTGAACAAACAAGTGCTTCTATAATCCAATTGTCAAATAAAAATAAGTTCCAGCTCCAAAATTCTGATTCCTCATGAACAATAAGTTATATCAATAACCTGCAACTCTCTCAAGAAGTATATAAAAAAGAATAATCTCATAAACCATGTGATCAAATTGAAGTGATCCATTTTAATTAGAAAATAAACATGGCAGAGTATAGAGATGAAAGGGAGCACAATATTCATATCATTCCACATCAATCAGAAATCACAATCCACTAGTTATCAGAAATTCAGTGAACAAATTGAGATTGGAGATCTAAGATCACAGAATTATGTCTCAATCTTCCCATTCATCTCTAAGGAGGGATATACAATTTTCCCAACACTCTACAAGAATATATTAAGGGCAGCGAGTAACTAACGAAGACCCATGTTAACAGATAGTACAGATATACCCCACACAAGATATATACTTAATCTACAGTTAAGGGACAGTTTGTAGAAATTACACACTCATAAAGAGGTTACAAAATTCAGGGATGACATAATAACCTAAAGTCCAATTTGGACTAGCTTCTAGCTTATATAACTTAGATTTTAAATTTTAAATTAAAATAATTAAATAAATATTTAGTTTGTAACCCAAAAAGAAATATGTATAAGTTTACAAAAATTTATGAATAATTAAATGAGAGATTTTGAAAAAACTGAGGTACCTACTATCTATATTGGTATCAAATTTTCATATAATGAGAGAAGCTATTGGTTAGAGTTTCTAAATAGTAGTAATAGCTTAGAACACTCATATAATTATGACAAAATCATTTCAACTTAATCTTTTCTATGATTGGTTGTGAAAAATCATATCCAAACTAGCTCCAAATTTTACATTTTCTCAAGCAAATTTCCAAGTATAACAACAATAACCTCTATAATAGTATATCACATCTCTAAACTTATACATTTATTACATTAAAACGAAACAAACGAAACAGATCCAAGAAAAATATCTACTTTTCATAGATCTGCTAAATCATTTTTCTCATACAAATTATTCAAGCCTCAAACAAACAGATCCAAGTACAAGAACTAACATAAAAACCAATTCAGTAGAAAATCATAACTTAAACATCATAGATTTCAACAAACTAAAAAATTAATCAACATGCATGTGATTTTCTCAAAGATTAAGGATTAGGGTAGAAAGTGAACAAACTCTTGGTAAGCAGAGAGGATGAAGACGGAGGCGAAGAGGACTCTTCCGAGAAAAGAAGCGAACGCCATTGTTGAGATTGTAGAGAGAGAGAGAAGAGAGAGAAAGTAGGGTTGATGGAATTTAGTGTGGTATTGTTTTTCCCGGTCAGAGGCAGAATGAGACTAAAGAGAAAAGAGAGCGCCAGCGGAAATTGAAAATGAGAGAGACTAGATTTCAAAAGGGTAATATAGTCTTTTTAATCGAAATAAAGGGTACAACGGTCTAATAAAGTAACGTAACTACTTTTCGTCGGCTCAATGGGCTGCTTTTAATGACAAACATGGCCCAATAACGAATGTAAGAAACGACTTTCCACACCTTCCTTTTATTTTTCCATAATTAAAACTGATCAAAATAAAAATCACAAATCAATCCAAATAAAATATAAAAACCAAATATTAATATATATACGGTACCATTTTATAAAAACCATTCGATTTAGATTGAATTTTACAAAACCGATCTAAACTGAAGTGAATCACATATCTATATTTTTATACTTATAAACTTTTTTTAATATGATGTATTTGATATTCAATCACTATCATTTTTATTTTTGTAATGTTAATTTAATTTGTAATATTAATCAATCATTATCATTTTCATTTTTGTAATATTAATTTTAATATATATATATATATATATATATATATATATATATATATATATATATATATATATATATATATATATATATATATATATATATATATATATATATATATATATATATATATATATATATGAAAATGTAAAAATAAATAAGAATTATCGAATTTAAAAAGGATAGATTAGAATTAAATCATATTTTTCACTAAATCACGGTTCATTAAAAGAAAAGAAAAATCTTAAGGCTATAAAATAAGTGTACTGAGTACATGTAATGGTAAATAAGTTTCAGAGGAATAGGGTACGGTGGAATAATATAGGTGCAGAAAGTTTCTCTTATTCATAAAGCACTTACCATGTGATACAACTCAGTGCAACCCAGAATGCAGCAACTTTAGAGAATACAAGGCTAGGACTAAGTATTCTAGGCATGTTTTTCATATATGTAATTAGGTTATTCATCTCAAAAGCAAATCCAACTGAGCTGAAGTAAATTATTGTAAAAATTTATTCGAGTTGAATCTAAGTATTTTAATTTATTTAGAATCCTACTGAATCATATTATTGATTTAATGTACTGTTTTAAAATTTCAAACCATACCGAACAATTAAAAATTAAATTTTTTAAACTTAATCATTTATTAAAAAAATGAAATGTTTAAACTATTTTTAATTTTTTTTAAATTAAAATATGTATATTTCTAGTATTTTTTAATTTTCAGTTTTGATTTAATTTAAAATTATTTGTGTAATATGATTTGATTCATTAATTAAACATAATAATTTAATTATTTTAACTTTAATTTGGTTCAATTCGATGGTTCGGCTCAATTTATATTTTTTTAACAGCTTTATATGAAATATTAAAATCATCTCATTTTTGTGTGATTTTTTTGTGTGTTAACTCATTCTAAACTTATGTTTAGAGTTAAAAGTTACAACTTAATTTTAAAATTATATTTTAAAAAATATTAATCACTCAAAATTAATTTTACGCGTTCAAAATCAGTTATTAATGTACAAAAGTTAAATAAAACTTAATCAAGAGTTTATTTAATCAAATTTGCTCCAAACTTCACACAATCACCTTCATTTTCAGATTTCACACTCATTTTTGAGAACTTTCTCTCAACTCTCTCTCAACTTTTCTACCCCCCAAAAACTCCATTAAAGCTCTTTTCACTTGAATCCATTGCTTCTTCATTAAAATCCTTGAATTCTAGAGCTAAACCTTATTCATTCATCTCCATTATCTTCAATTCATCACTCAATTTTTGTTTGGATTTGGATATGATTTTGGAAGCAAGATTTGAAGTGATTCGTGGATCAATTTTGGCTTGATCTTGCTTGTTCTTCACTTCTACTATAAGGAAGCTCTTGGATCTTGAAGATTCTCTAGGTTTTTAGCTTGGATCTGTTAATTTGCAGTGAATCAACACTTATCAAAGCAAATCTCAGCTTTGAAGGTTGGTGAATTCTAGATCCAATTTTGTTTTGAGCTTATTTGAATAATCACAATGTAGATTCATGGTTTTTGCTGCATGTTGATCCATTTGTTTGGATTTAATCTTTATGATTTGTGATCTGAATGTTTGATCAAGTTTAATTGATGTTTGATCACTGATTCTTGATGTTAAATTCGTGCATAATTGATTACTAGTTCATGTGGATGATTGGATAAGTCGTTTGCTGCTGAAAAGTGATATTGAAAGCTGATTTTTGGCCTCTGTCACAGTGGTAACCGGTTACCCTGCCCAATTTTCACGTTTCTGGACATTTTTCAAAGGGGTAACCGGTTACCTGATTCTGGTAACCGGTACCACTGGGACAAATTGTATTTTCTTGCACTTTCTTGCTTGTTTGGGCTTCTTTTCACCTCTAAACTTCATGGATTGATATGATGCATTTATGTGGATTGTTTTTTACATATTTCATCATTCTTGAATGTTTAATTTGGATTCTTTGACACGTGACTTCCGGTTTCTGTTTAAATGTTTAACATGTTCATGATGCTTAATTGATGCAATGATCACATGCTTTGCTTGCTTATATCATGTTAATTAATTACCATTGATGATTATCTTGCTGGATTTGTGATGCATGTTTGCGTTTGCTTCTGATTCCATTTGTTGCATGTTCGTTTGATCGTTCGGTTGTTTGATTTGAATTAAAAAGCATGATGAACTTGTTGATTTCTTGTTGATGCAATGTTGTTGATCATTCGTGTTCGATTGTTGAGGCATGTCCATACTTGCATGATATTTGTTCATGATTGGTGCTTGCTTTTGATTAAGTGCATTCACACATGCATGCCGCCCTGCTTTTCACAGTTGTTCTTATTCTGAATTTTTGCATGTTGTCTTTGCTTGCTTGCTGCCTGCCTTTTACACCTGCTTTTATGCTGAACATGTGCTGTTATAGGCTGTCTTGCTTGTGTGCTAGATTTTACTGTTGTTTTGTGCAGGGAGCGCTATTGTAGTTGTTGTTTTTGCCTTGATTTTCTTCCTTTTTGCCTTGCCTTTGCATGCTCCCTTAGGATTCTTATTCCAATTTAATTTCCAATTAAATTTGGAGTAGAATAGACACTAAGATGACAATCTTGGCACGATAACAAGTAGGCTAGTCCCTTTTAACCTCGACCTTAGGTCCATATTTTGCATGCTAACATTAAGATAAAATCTCTTTTCGCATCCCAACTTTAGGACCCTTTGCATGACAACATTATGGATGAGTTTTCCCTTAGACCTTCTGTGCGTCTCTCTTCTCATCTCAAAACACTTAATAATGACGATGAACGTTGTACGCTACGAGCCTTAAGTATGTGGGAAATGACGAGGGGGGGGGGGTTCCCCTCACTTGTCTAAAGTGTTTAGTGTATGCCCTTTAGGCGATATGCGACACATTCAGTCATATGTCATAGTCTTTAGTGCACCGTGAATATCAAACAAACTAATTCACTTCACTAAAACTCACAAACAAAAGTCAAACCTTTTATCCTTCGAGATTTGTGTTTCAAACTCATTTTCATAAAAGAGTACGTTACTTTTCCATTCTACCGCAAACATGCATCAACCTTAACTACTGGAATGAGAGTTTAACGTCACTCATAAAAAACACTTAATCAACCTGTGGTTTCGGTTACCCGAACTACGTTTGGTCTGATTTTTCATACCAGATGAGGATACGTAGGCACAAGATGACGATGTCTTGGAGAGCAACCTTCCCCCATCACCCGTAGTTTTCTGAACTACGTTGACTCTGACTTTCCTATTGCACGAGAGAATACGTAGGCATAGGACGATGATGTCTTATCGAGTCTCTTTCTTTTTCTTTTGTTCTCATTTTCGTTTAGCAGTAGCTTTTAGATAACACACCCCTTGATTAGACAACAAGCGTGAATCCCGTTGAGTACAACGGACGTGAGGGGTGCTCATAACTTCCCCTTCGTAACCGACTCTCGAACCAAAGATTTGGTTGCGATGACCTTGTCTTCTCCTTTCTTTTAGGTTTTTTCGATTGTTTCCTTTCCCTCTCTTTGGGATAAATAACGTTCGGTAACAATTCTTCTATTTTTTCGCCGGGTGTTTTTCGTAGTTGCGACACTAAAATTAAAATTTTCGGACAAAATTGGAGTATGACACATACCTCTGTATTTCACTACAAAAGACGAAAAAATTAATAATTATTAGAAATTTTAAATTTTCCGATAACAAAAATAGAGTTTTATAACTACCGGAAATTTTAAAATTTCCGGTAAAAAATAAAGTTTTTATAACTATCGAAAATTCTAAAATTTTCAGTAAAAAACAGTTTTTTATAACTTTCAGAATTTCTGAAATTTTCGAAAATTTTCAAATAATTTTATATCAGAAATTTTAAAATTTTTAATATTATCAAAAAATTTTAAAATTTCTAATATAAAATCACGCAAATTTAATAACTTATGGTGAAAAATTTATTAATTTTAAAATTTTCGATAGAAAAAACAAAAATTCCAACCGAAAATTCAAATTCATATGTGAAAATTGTGAATTTCAAAAATGAGGAAAAGAATATTGCAGAAGCAGTATTGTTTATTCATATAAAATGCAAGTTTAAGTAAAGGGTGTCTCCACATGTGGACACTCTAACAAAAGTGTATTTAGATTATTTTTAAACATTTTGAAATTGAAATAACAATCAATCTAGCTCTCGTTATTCTTGTAATTTATTTGAATTAATAGATTGAACCAATCCCCATATAATGGCTACACTGCTCCCTGTTCAAACTACAATTTATTTAATTTTAAATACGAAATTCAGTTGTGATTACATTATTGTGTATTTTTATATTATAAAAAACGAAACTTTTCTGCAGATGAGTCACTATCATTAAGCAACATTGTGTTCTTTTATACTTTGAATTATTCAGATCGCAAAT